TTTTCGGAGATATCCTATTGGGCACAATGATTTCTTCGCATCTTTTCGATCCGTTCTAGTAAAACCCCGAATCATCAGTCTGAATGATCGAATCTTATAGAAATATTACCACGGATTAGGTGACAAAGTCATATTCAGATCTTTACTGTTTGAATCTGATCGAGTCCTGAAGTAAAATATTATTAGTTTGTGATGAAATACCATGACCACTAGCTACAGCCCAAAATAAACAGGCTATACTATCCTTTAAATTATTAAGATCAAATGATTTCATAGTCGAATGTTGTCAAATTCTACTGCTAGATTTCGTTGGATATTTTTTACATCTTGATCGGCGGATCTGTTATCGATATTATCAACAGAAATGTCTATCGACGTTTTAGCAACTGTTCAATCACAGATAGTACGAACGAATAGTTTTGAGATTTTTTAAATTGTATTGTTTTTCATGATGATGCTCATTCAATGGTAAAATCAATTTGAAACTTTTGAGAAAGTTAGTTTAGATTTGGATTTCTCTACCTGTGAATATTTTGTCAAATTTTATAAGGAGTCATTAATTTCGCACAATAGACTCGGTCCAAGTGAAAAAGTCGGAGTAGAACATTATATCTTCGATGTTTATCTACTGTCAATTAAGCTTTATGAGTGCTTGCTGACTTTTGAATGATTCTTTGTGTCTGAACTAGAATATCAATATAGAAATGTGTGTGTTGACTTAGTAATAATGTTGAAGGTCTCAAAAAATAATAAAACAAAGACTTTGGAAACGTGACCAAAAAGGGGTTTGAAAATAGTGAAATTGTCTAGTCTCCTGTCAGAACTTCGTCGCAATCCGAATTTCCATATTCCTATGAAAATCGATTTATGGAATTCCATTGTATGTATATCGAAATCTGGTTGTTGAATCCATGAGATATATTATCATCCGCAGTTCTGTCGAATTTTTATCCATTGGTCGGATGCCAAACAATTCGATCGGATTCTTCCATCTGACAAGAGACGCTTCTGTTTATGTATGAATGTCTCATCGAATGATGGCTAAGAATTGACATAGAACATTGGTGATTCATAAGGATATTATTATGACGATGGTTTACCACAGATGACAATATGAAAATAAACCTGATTTTTTTAAATAGAATGTCTGTGCATGTAAAAAATAAATGAAAATTGCAGAATCAAAAATTCGCAACTCCATCAATAGAATTTGTTTTCTTTTTCTTTCGCTTGAATTCGATCGATCAGAATTATATAAGCAGTCAGACAATATTTTAACTCATAATTATAAACTAAATCAATTGATTTTTGAGACATCCATACATCTTGATAATGATACAGTATACTATTTGTATTATTATTGTATTTATGACTAAAAGAATATATTTCTGTCAGCATGATAAACACTAAATGTTACAAAATAGGTCACAATGCCTACCACTAATTACTTCTAGCAATGATGTTTCTATTGCTCGTTTTCTTTTGCAAATTTCATTATCATCAAATATACAAAAAAAACCAAAGTTCTTTCTTTTTTTGAATAGTTCAAGACAATCAAGTTTTCATTGAGTACATTAGAAGTATTTTTGCTTTTCGTTCCTTGAAAATTGGTATCCAAAAACAAACCAATAGAGAATAGAAATTATCTAATTGCATTGTCATCTCAAATTCAAAGGTCACAGTTGAATCGCTATCATCAATGTTATTGTCATGACTGTCTTTTGCATAAACACTGCAACTCTTCCAAATTCATATGAACTCTCATAGTGATCTTTGCAAGAAAATCATAGTATAAATGAAACTTAAGGAACATGATATTGAAATTTTCATATTTCTTGATTCTATAAATGTACAAAATTTCTATTCGATTATTATAGTATTTTATCAATAATTCTTGGTATTTCATTGGTATTTTGATTTACTTTTACCGTAGATTGGTATTTTAAATGTACAATCATATTATATATTCTTCTTGATGATAAGTTTAATAACTAGGAAAACAACAGCAACAACAACAAAAAAATTTGATTATTTCAATTTTATTCGAAATTATTTTGAATTTTTGTTGCAATGCAACAATCTAATGAAAACATTTGATTTCAGCCTATTACTTATTTAACATTTAAAATGATTTACAATAGTTTATATTTATTTTATGCCTTGTCAATCGCTCAATAAAACCTTATTACTCTGTCTATTTTTAGTCTATTCTCATATCATAATCCATCTATATTAGTGTTGTCAGATAATTGATATATATATTTTTTGATTTCTTCTTCAACTTAAAGTACAATAGTTGATTCCACTTTCTGAAAGAAACTTGCACATATGTATCTTGATGATTTAATCTTTGATAAAATCAGTAATAAAAAAATAACAATAACAAATGGGAAACTAAGTATTTCTTTCATACAACGTCTTTCCATGTATTTTTTTTTTATTTTGCTCATAGATTTATCGAATGAATTTATAATTTGCAATAAAACGAATATCTGAACTATATTAAACATTAAGATCTATAATAAGATATTCTACGAAGTTATTTGGATGATCTATATGACTAATCAATCTTTTGAAAGAACTATTTGTCATCGTTATTGTAGATATGATTTATGTATTCTTCTTTTTTTTTATATCCTACTAATCATTGCTCAACTTCTTTTCAATTCATATATGATTTATCATCTTTGAATTGTTTCTATCATAATTCGTGTTTAATAATATCTTTTAATGAGTATGTTACATGAAAATATGCTTTTTCGTCAATCGTCAGTCATAGGTCTTTATATCTTGCTCTTTTAATAGCTCTTCCTTTTTTGATGAGCTAGACAAACAAATTTTTTTTTCCATTCAGTAATAATAACAGCTGGCTAACTCTTATGTGTATGCAAACGATCCAAAGCTAGAAAGAAACAAATTACCATAGCTGTAACTATTGTATCCTATTCCGCTCATCAATAGTTTGTGCTATTGCATTTAGAGAGAAAAATATCACTCGTAAACGACAATATAGTATCTTGATTGTAAAACAATTTCTGTATAACCTCATGCTTGTCCGCTCTTGCGGCAATACTAGAAAACAGAGGGACCATTCGCACTTCATTTGTTTGTGTACAAAATGCGTCGCATACAAGAAAAGATACATTCACTAAGCGAGAAAACCGACATATTTCTTTCATTCTTTGCTAAGAAAAATGTAGTTGTCTACGACGTACGACTTTGTGATCTCTATATGACAAGACTAAATAAAGATTGTTAAAATATAGTGATTTTTATCATATAATTCAAGAATTGAAATGAATCGTTGACTGATCGATTGATACAAGTCATGAGTGATTCACAAAGAAGATTTGTATCAAGAGAGAATGTGTGAGAGAGAGAGAGAGGACGAGAGAGAAAAAAAAACATAGATGAATAATATTTGACTGTTGTATATTGTATGTTCTCTCTTTCTCTAATGACAGTAAAATGATTAACAATCTTTGTATATAAGTAATATTTCCTGTTGTTCTAAGGAGTCGAGAGCAGAATAGATTGGAAAGCCCTAATAATTCTTCCAGAATATTCTGGACGGTGTGCAAAAGTATCCAGACAAGGATAATCCTCTTGTCTTTCTTTTGTGTGTAAGGCGAGTGTCGTATTAGGAATGAATATTCTCATATACAGCTATATACATACATATATATATATATGTATATATATTGTCCTATTTATCTATTGATTTTAGATTTCTTTCATTCCTATTTACTTTCTCTTTGTCTGTAAAAGTAAGCAAGCAAGTCAATTGTAACAATGCCTCGTGACAATATTCCAAAAACAGCAGTGAAGAAGCTTCAACAATTCTTCTCCAAAACACTCGGTATAGAAAAATTCGGATTTATTTTATAAGAATAATTCATTTTGTCTTCTATTATCAGATACAAACAATGATGGTCTTGTTAATTGGACTGATTTCGAGGCTGCCATTGAGGTTTGTTATATTGATTGAATGAGATAAACTAATATATTATAATTTTTTTTTTGTTTCTCACAAATAGTCCATTGTATCAGCTGAAGATGCCGCAAAAAATGCACGATTAAAAATCTTACGTAAACGTACCGAACAACACTTTCAAAAATATTTTTGGGACTTATGTGCTATTGGTGATGCTAACAACGATGGAAATATCGATTTAGGTATATAGATTTCTTTTCTTTAGATTTCAAACTATACTATTTTTGTCTTATTTCAAAGACGAATGGCTTGATGTTATGAATGATATTATTGGTGGTTTAAAGGACAAAAATGAATTTCCCGAATGGTACGAAGGATTACATAAGGCTTTATTTCGTGCCAATGAATTTTTAGGTAATTAATTATAACATTCTAATGTTTATAATTTTTGATAATCATCTTCTTCTTTTTTATTGATAGACGAACGAGCTGTATCAAGATCGGAATTTGGCAATATGCTTCTTTCATGGGATATTGATGAAGCAAATGCTGGAAAAGCTTATGATTTCATTACTGAGCATGGCAAAAAGAAAATGGATTGTAAGTAAATTTCAATTGAAACAACAAAATATATTTATCGTAACATTAAATTTTTCTTGCTTTTTTTAGATCATCTCTTCTCAGAATTTATGAAAAAATTCTTTCTTAATGAAACACCCAACCATCCAATAAATCTTGGCCTTGATTAAATATCAAAATGGACATTTTAAATTCTTCTTTTTTTTTTCTTATCCTGTCATTTTTTCACTTTTGCACTTGAATAACCCATTATATTATAATAATTATTCACTAATATTTCAATATATTTGTCTTTAAATAAAAAAATGCACTTTTTTTTCTGTTTATTAAGATACACATCAAGTGTCAAATATATATATATATATATATTTATTTGAGATCAGACAAGAAAAATAGTGAGAAGATAACGGAAGAACAATACTGTATAAAAAGAAAAAAACATGAATATACATTTGGATATATTTTTTCTTTTTCTAAATAATATTGACTAACGAGGACCACCATTAAGTTGTTTTGAAGATTTTGAAAGTTGTTGTTGAAGTGTTGATTCATAACGATTACGCATTTCTGAAAGACGTGTCCAATATTGTAATTCTAAACTATTGTGCATTTCTTGAACTTGTTGAGCTAAATAAATAAATAAAAACAAAAGAAAATAAAAGTATTTTTGTTTTTTTTTTTTGATCTCTTTTATCTTCTTACTTGTTATTGTACGTAATTCATTCATTGACATACGATATGTTCGACGTGTTTCTTCTAATTCTTTTTCATATTTGACTCGATTTGATTCAAGTGCTGTTTCAATTTTAACAGTAAAATCAGTTAATAATTGTTGAAACTAAATAAAACAAAAAAAAAAAAAGGTAAAAGAAGATTTTTTTTTCTAACCAAATGTAAATATCTATTTACTTTATCATTAAAATTTTTGATTATCATTTGTATTTCACCTGGTGTTTGATGACTAGAAGATAAGAGATAAGATAAATATTGTCATTGAAATATTATACATACTCTTCAATTGAAGGTCGAATAGGATGATTATTAAATAGTGGCATCTAAATAAAAAGAAAAACAAACAATAGTCACAGATATATTCGATGAGAATATTAAGATATAGTTTTAGTTTATTACACAAGAATATCATAGGATTAGTATACTGTAACAGAAGTGGATATCCAGCAATACATGAGATGGCGGTGTATTATATTTTTTCAAACTTCTAATTTATATAAAAGCATAGGAATAAAAACTTGAGCAATTTATTGTACTCATATAAAATAAAAGTTTGAAAACCGTATTTATTTGTTCTGATGAGAAATTCAAAAACAAAAGCAATAAAAAGAAAACTTATTCGTTGTCACTGTCTGTTGATTTATATTGAATTTTGTGTTTTTATGTTTGTTTTATTCTTAGTTTGCTTATCTTATAGATGTCTAATATCTTTTTCATTTCTTCTAGAAAACATGTAATAACGTTTATTAACATAATTATTGTATTAATAGAAGGTCTATGATCTTTGACATCTTACCTCATATACAGGCAACTGTAATATCCTTGTCAAAAAAAAACTCCTGGAGAATGTAGGACATGATGAAGAAAATTGTCCTGTGACGTTCTCTATTCATTACAGCAAAAAAATCTAGTATAGCCTTTTAATTTATGACTGCATATAAACAAATCAAAGACAAAACCAGCAAAAATTATATCGAACCTTTATTTATGAAAGTTATGTTCGTGCCAGAATTACAGAGAGGTAAGCGTAAACTCAATAACTTGACAATGGTAACAGCTGATGACCTGTAGGTTAATCTCTAGTAAATATTCAAATATAACTTACTCGTATAGGATTTCGATTTGGTATTGGTGGCGTATTTGAGGTAAGTGTCGAATGAGTCATACCATTTGGTCTTCGTTGTATTGATGTATTAATAGGAAATGTATCAAATGATTGAGGTTGTAATGATGATGTCGAAGGATTTATTCTCATTGTCGGTGGATTATTATTATTATTACTATTACGCTGAGCTGTCGATGGATATATCGTTGGTCCAGGTCGTTTATGTGTTGGATTTGGTGGTTGTCGTGTCGAAGAAGTCATAGGTACAGGTGTAGGCCAATTATTTTTTTGTGGTACTGTTGATGATATTCGTGGGGCAAATGTATTATTACTATTTGTTATCATTGCTGGTAATTGAGAATTTGATGCTGTTGTAGTAGAAGGAATAGAAGTTTTTGTTTTATGATGTTGTGTATTTGCTGGTGGTGATATAAGAAAAGATTTTGCAGAAACTGATGATGAACTTGATATAGATGGATGAACTGGTGGTATTGATTGAATTATTCGACGTTTTTGATTATCTTCAGTATCCATTGGTTCAGATTTAACGCTAAGTGTTTCAATTGATTTTGTTCTTTCTAATTGTTGATGTTGTATTAATAAATCATCATTTGTTACAGTTGCAGAATCTTCAAAAACATCAGTACTACAATGAGAAAAGAAAACAAGCAAGACTTAGAGAATCAATTAAGAATTAAAATAAACCTTGCAGGACTTATTGATAATGGTCTTAGAGATGGTATTGTTGATATTGGAGAAAGTGATCGTTCATTTACATGATGTTCAAAAGATGAAAGAGTAGTATTATTAGTTATAAGTGGTTTTGATTGAGTTGTTATTATACGATGTTGTAAACGAGATTTACGTGATTGTTTTGTTGTTGTACGTCGTTCAGCATATTGAGGTTGTATTGGTCTAGATTCATTTGTGGATGATGATGATGATGTCATCATTAGTAAAGATTGACTCGTACGAACTTCAGATATAGATTTAAGTGCATCAATAGCATCAAGTAAAGCATTCATTGATAATCTGACATCTTCAATATTTGAATAATCAACAGTTATGGAATTTTGATCAACATAATTACTAATTAATGTTGGATTTAGTACGTTATTTTCCGTTGGAGAAGGACATGATGATGATTGATTTTTAGGTGATCTACATGGCACTCTGAGAGAAAACGAAAAAAACAAAGTTTTATTAGAAACAAGAAAAGATCGTTTTTTTTTTGTATTTCTTACTCATCATCGTTTTTTGATGGAACTAATGTTTGATTAAAAATATCAAATACATTTTCTGATTGAGATTGATTATGATCTTCATCATCTTCTTTTAATGTTGATAATGGCTCTTTGATTTGCATATTTAATTGATGGGTAATCGTAGTACTATTACTACTACTATTTGATGTTTCACTTCGACTACTTGATAAATCTTCACTTGGTTTTCGAATTCGTAGTACAATTCGATTTGAATTAATACTATTATCATCCGTAGGTCGAGATGAAAGTCGTGCTCGTTTAACTGACTCTTCTTGTTGTTGTTGTTGTTGTTGTTGGTCATAAGAATTTTCATTCTGTCGTTTAGTAGTTGTTTTTATATTTATAGTTGATTCAGTTGTTTGTAATAGAATAGGAGAACGTGGTTGTTTTATACACTTGATAGAAGGACGAAGTGCATTGTTATTAGTTGTCGTTGTTACATAAGTAGGTAGAATGGAGTCTAATAAAATACATATTAAATAAAATTTAACAAAAACTAAATTTTTTCTCTGATTTATATTTATCAACATTATCAAGTTTCATATTGATTTTTCTCATTGACTATCAAAGTATGACTGATAAGACTTATTACATTTTTTTTGTTTACCCTAATGTTTAGCTATCACTCAATTTGATTTAAATTATCCGATAGTTAGAACCCGCACCGGTTTAAATTTTTTTGGGTCCAGAACCAATACGACACGCTCTACCGGCAGTACATATATCGTTATTTACCATTGTTAAAACATTATTAGTAGAAACCTATTCATTTCGAGTTATTATCTAATAAGTTTATCTTCTAATTATGAGAACGAATCGCTGTATAATCTCTCTATAGTGAACATCCTTTGAACTTTCCAAAAGTGTCCACTATAAGAAGGTTAGGTCTTTTTTTTTTACAATGAACAGATGCATTTTCTATGTATCTGAAGGACATTAGTAAATAAAATAATTTGCTACTTCTATTGACATGCATTTTTCTTATTGGATTTAGTAAAATTTACCTGTCGTGGACATCATTCGAACTTTTCGAAAGTATCTACTATGGAAATTTTTACTGTATTTGATAAACAATGAGATGATAATTCTTTTCTGATTATAAAATTCAAGAAGAAAAAAAAACAAATCATACCATCAATAATTGAAACGAATTTGAACGGTTTCGTTTTACTAAGTGGTGTTTGTGGTGGTGCATATGTAAAATGTCCATAAAGTGTTTTTAATCGATCAATATGAGTTTGTAATTCTGTAAGACTTTTTTCAAAATTAATATTAGATTTTTTCTTTTCTGCACCTGGATATTCTTTCGAAAGAACAAAACAATTATTAATTGATACCCATGCTCTAGATATAAAAAAAATCATATAGTTAACTTAAACATAATTTGTTTCTTTTTTTTTCCCTCACCGATCATGTTGACCAAAAAAACGAACATCAACTTCATCATTAACAATACGTAAAACTTTCGCTGGCCATGGTTGATAACCTTTCATTTTAGCCCAACATAATGTATGTGGAATACGACATGGTTCAGCAAACCAATCTGTTGTTATAGGTTGTGCACTACGTAAATAACATTCCGAACAAATTTCAATTTCAGTCATTTCATGACGAGCAATTTTTAATAATGCACGTGCAATCGTAGTAAATTTACTTTGACCTAAATTACAAATAAAAATAAAACAAAACAAAGTAATCAAATGAAAAAAAACAAATTTTTAATCATAAATAAAGACAACTTGCTTCCATTGAAAACAACACTATTATGTGTTATCCATTTAACATCAGCAATAAATGCATCTGTAGATGGATATTTTTTTAAATCGATATTTTTTTCTATTGTTTCTAAATCCATTGGATGAATTATATAATCAAGATATTCAGGAACTTGTTTAGAATCAACAGGTTTCATAAATGGTGCAGACTATATAGAAAACAAATTGGTTTTTTTGTTTTTATTTTTTTTCTTAATAAAACTTACTTGTGGATGAGATTTCATTCGACGGAGTGCATATTTTAACATAGTATGAAATTCATCTATACGTGGATTATTTATATTAGATGATGATTGAATAATCTTTAAAAAAAAAACAAATGTATATTGAAAAATTAAATGATATTATTATTTTTAAAATACATACTTTACATTCAGGACATGTCCAATCGCCATCAGGTAATGTTGTCAATCCAAGACATTTCGGATGATATACACGTGGACATGAATCACAACAAATAACATCACCTTCATCATGACATTCAAAACAATATAAATCATTATGATCATCCTAATAAATCAATTATTAATCAACAAAAAAAAAGTTTAATTTTTTTTCTCTCCCAACCTCATTTGTTGTCTTTTTTAATTTAACCGGTGGAATATAATCATCATCTGATTCCATTAAATTGTTCGTAATAGAAGCCATTATTTTATCTATAAAACGAAAAATGACAATAAAAAGCGCGTTTTTTTTTACTATCATTAACCGAATAAATTTGGCGCTAAGCCATGGAATTTCCCGTCAGTTCAATTCCAAATTTTATTATTTGATATTTTCATTACGAATAGGACAGACATTTTTGTCTATATACACTTAACAAATCCGTACAACAAAAAAATAATAAATAAATAAATAAATACTAATCCATTGTGAACGTTTGTTTGTTTCTCAATTAATGTTTATTCAACTGGACTATATAGAAATACAAAGAGAGGGCAACAAGTAGATGGACGAATTAGATTGATGGACGAGTAATAATCGAAGAAAGAGGGCTAGGCGCTGAATGAGAACATCGAACGAGAGAAGAAAAAAAGCGGATGCAACAAATAAGACATATATTGTTTTGTTATGTTGCCTTGCACACACACGTTCGTATAAAGAACGACAAAAAGTTTCACCCTCTGTACGGGGCTTCAAAGTAAATAGCAAACATACAAAAAAAAAAAAAAAAGAAAAAATCTGAAGAACATTATAAAGAAAATTTCTATTGAAAAATTAATAGATATTAAAATTTTCGATGAACATTTATGACTTATTTTATGACCTGAAACGATTGATTTATGAGAACAACACAACAAAAAACAAATGTTTTATAACATCGAATCATAACGATAAATAAATTTATCTAAGAAATTAAAAAATTTAACATTGTTTATCATTTATAAAACAACTCACTATAATGAAAATGTTTCAATTAAGGAATAATCGAATATTCTTTATTGATGATAAGAAAAACTATACATAATGTTATACAATAATATCTAAATTTAGTTTTTCTATTGACAGAAATGAATATAGAAGCAGAATTCTAGATGTTTTTGATCTACGAATAGAATATAATTGCACTCTTTTCACATTATCAGAAAATGTTCTAATACGTATTAGTCGTCTTTAACTGTAAAACTACACTTGTTTTACAATGTTTTGTTATTCACCCAAAAAAAAAATATTCAAAGAAATAGAATCATTGGATTTTTGACAGATTATACCTGAAGTTCTTCAATTGCTTTTGAACCGAGACTATATACATTATATAGACCAGACCCATATGAGTTATGAATATCCTACAAAGAGTTCATGTTATTACTTTATTATTGTTGAGATACTACATTTTTATAAATGTGAATTTTATGGTCGGGAAAAACTAATTTTCGAGTTTCGACTTGAAACTTTGCATAGTGACAGATCTTAATGAGAATAGTTTTTCTTTTTTTGTGAATGTTCAAGATCTGGTCGTTGTGTCTATTGTAAGATACTTTTTTTTCACATCGCTCATATAAACCGGTAGACTTGATGTTCTTATTTCACGATAGAAGCAAATCAAAAGACTTAAAACTATTCTTGTTAAGGCTTGTCTCTATTGAAAAATTCGAAAATTAATTTTTCTGGACCATAATATTCATTTAAAAAAAAATACTCTGAAAATACAACATCTCAATAGCAATAAACTAAGGACGCAAACTCTTTTCAGAGTATTCATAGCTCATTTAGTTCTATATATATTGTATATAGTTTCGACTTAAAAGTAATTTATAGTTGGAAGATTTCTCTTGTTAAACCGAATAGTAAGTCAACAAATAGACATAAAGATATTTCAATTCTATAAATTTTAGATCATGGTGATACTGATTTTTCAAACTAGTTGGAATTTTCCTAGATCCGTACTTTATAAAACATGGAACAGAACAATGACTCTTATCGGAAGATTGAAGTAGTCTACTTATCATTCGAAATCGTCTGTTCAAAACAGAAATCTGCTGTAAGTCAATCTTATCGTTATCATATCAACTAACTCAATAATAGTTAATCTCTGAATTGGCATTGATTAGATAAAGAATTAATAAAAAGTTCATATATATACTCAATAGAATCGTCATATATCAAAATCGGTTGCTTTCAATGTTCTATCTTCGTGAATAAATTATCACATCTTAGGCAAAATGTTTAAGCAAACAAACCTTCAGATTAAAATTTCTTTTTTTTTTTTGTTTCAAAGAAATGAGATTTTTGAATTTTATATTTTGTACAAAAATACTACTGATTTTCTATGGTAAGAAAAATAATTTAAAATTTCTACTTAAAATATTCTAACATTTGTTTAACACATCAATGATAAACACTTTTATTGCCATCTGTTTAAAAAATAGTCGTTGTGCCTTGATCAATTTTTACCATCATGTCTTTGATTCAATCAATCATTATTACTTTTGACTGTTTCTTATTGAATTATTAATTATCCAATCATAATTATAGTCGCTTTATTAAACAGATATATTTTATCTAAATTTTTTTTTTATTAATTCATTTTTTTAATTTTTTTTAAATTGATTATTAATTAAATATTTATTTATTTCCATAAAAAATATTTCATCTAATGAGATATCAAGCGTGACAAGTGACCTCAAGAGATGATGAGAGAATTTCATAATGGCATCTCTAATCTACTTTTTTTTTTATTTTTGTTTTTTTTTTTTTTCTTACTTTTAGCAATACAAAATGAGTTTATACAACTAAAAGTAATTCAATTAAAATATTTCAATTATTTTCAAATATCTTTTTTTTATTTATTAATTTATCTAAAATTATATCATTATGTCGACGTACAGCAGAGGTCGACACTAGTATTTGTCAAATGTTGTTGTTGTTATTATCTTAGGATAGGAAAAAAAAAATAAACAAACAAATGATGATCAATTTTAGAACAGTACATATAAGACGACGATTTTTCTAAGATATCTATTCCTGGTATTAAATACTTTCAAATATATAAATATATATATATTATATATATTCGACAATAATCGTCGCAATGTTCCAGGTTTGAAACAAAAAACAAATATGATGAGAAAAAAAACTCTTGATTAAAGTTCTTTTTTTTTCTTCTTGTTTATTATATATATATATAGAATAGTACATCTATTGAATCAGGAATTTATGCAAAACAATTTGATGATGACCGGTAAGAAATAATAAAAAAGAAAAAAAAAGATTAAGTTTAATAGAAATAAATTGAACATCATAGATTTACTGATGAATCATCTTCACAAGATTTTTTCAATTCATCACATAGAAAATTATCTGATGATCAATCAGATTTTGTACCAATTAATTGTAAGTTATTAAGTTTTTTTTTTAATTAATTAACAATAACAAAAATAAAACACATTCATTTTCTCTACAGTTGACTCTGAAATCAATTGCAATAGTTGTTTGACAGGTGTTAATGATTTATTTTGTGATAAACATACATTTTTACCATGTATTGAACCAGATGTATGATTAAATATAAAACATTAAATTGATAGAGTTTTTTTTTTCTTTTTATTTTTTAGACACTTGTTTCAAGTAAACCGGTGATAACATCAACTCGAGGTGGACGTATGAACAGTAAATATGGTAAAGGTAAACCAGCACAAGCTTATAGTAATTTAGATATGACAAATCGAAAACGTGTTCGACGAGTATAAAGAAAAATTTCTTGAAAAAAAAAAATAAAACAAAAATTTTCTCTAGACAGTTCGTCGTCGTCATCGATTAACTTCTGATTCTCCTACACCACCACAATCAATTAGTCCACAATCGTATATATCAAATTCAGATAATATACAACCTATGCAATGTCATAGAACTTTATCAAGTTCACGTGGTAGACCAATTAAGGTACGCAAAGATGATTATAATACAACTACAACAATTAATGTAAGTTTTAATTTATAATACTGGAGAACATTTTTTCATATAATTGACATATAAAACTGATCGTATGAGTCAATAGTACAGTCAGTATCTATATGAACATATAACAATCTGGATTAATCAATTATTTTGTTTGATGACGATCTTCTAAATTGAAGAGGAATGTCCCGCAACTGATAAATCATTTTTCATTTGATATTTCTATTTCAATAAAGACGCAAATCAAAAGACTTAAAACTACTTTAATTAAGACCTGTCTTGACACAAAGTTTCAAATCGAAAATCAGATTTTGCTGAACTACTACAAATTTGCAGTATCTAAGAATTCGAAATCTTTTCAGGATATTCAAAATTAATTTGGGTCTACATTCTTGAGTCAAAAGCGTTTTTTCAATTGTAGGACGTTCCTTTGTCAGTTTAAAAGAGAGCGTCCACAACAAAAAATTAACTACCTCCAAATTGTTATATCTCCAATTTCACTATTGATGTAAATTATTTCAGTTATATTAAAAGTAAATTCGTCGAAAAAAAAAACATTTGTGTTTCTTCTTCAGGAAAATCCATCGACTCAACAAGAACCAGTAAAAGAAGATGAAGAACATCATTCTGTTACTGTTTTATGTTCTTCGAATGAAGTTTATGCTATTTCTCAAGTATAGAAATTATTTCGAATTTATCTTTTTGTATTTATTTATTTATTTATTTATATTAATAGGAAATATGTGTTAGTTGTGGGAGTGTTGGTTTAAATGAAGAAGGTCGACTTATATCATGTTCACAATGTGGACAAAGTTATCATCCATATTGTGTTGGATTTACAAAAATGGTTCGTTTGTTTATTTGTTTTAAATTTAAATAAATAATATTTATTTTAATTTAGTTATCAAAAGTACTTTTTGATAAAGGTTGGCGTTGTCTTGATTGTACTGTATGTGAATGTTGTGGTAAAACAACTGATGAAGCAAAACTTTTATTATGTGATGATTGTGATATATCATATCATACATATTGTCTTACACCACCACTTGATCATGTACCAAAAGGAAATTGGAAATGTCAATGGTAATAATAAAAAAAAATTTTTTTTTTTTTTTTTTTTTTTTTAAAAACAAAATTTCTTTATAGGTGTGTTCGTTGTTTAAAATGTGGTTCAACAACACCAGGTATTGATTGTCAATGGGAAAATAATTATACAGAATGTGGTCAATGTTATTCATTAAATACATGTC